TTTGTTGGTAAGAGTAGTAGTAGGTCTCTATGATGGTTAATTTTGTGTATTAACTTCACAAGTCCAGTGGGTGCCAAGATAGGAGGTAAGTTATCAACTCTGGATGTGTCAGCAAGGGTATTTCTGGATGAGATCAACATTTGAATTGGTACAGAGAATAAAATGGTGATTTCCCAGTGTGGGTGGGCATCTAAATTCTACACAAGGCCTGTGTAGAACACAAAGATAGAGAGAGGGAGAATTCACTCTCAGCCTGCCAGTTTGAACTGGAATATTAGTCTTCTAATTTAGACTCAAATGCATGCTCTTTCAGCCCACAGGCCTTTGAACTCAGAGTAGAACTATATACTATTAGCTCTTTTGCATTTATGTGTTGTAGACTAAAGATCATGGGACTTTTCAGCCCTCCATAATTTGTATGAGCCAATTCTTAATAACACATCTCTTTATATTACATGGAATATAAAATGTATCATACATACCTATTAATATATAATATTAAAAATATATAATACATCTCATATATACAAATATTTGCTATAAAAATTGGCTCATGCAATTATGAGCAACAAGGCATTCCACAGTTTTCCCAGCCTGCGTAGGCTGGCGAGCAGAAAAGCTAACTGTAGCTCCAGTCTAAATCCAAGCCTTTCTTGGTTTTTGTTTTTTGTTTTAATCTCTGCAGAACCCTAGTAGCATAGCTCCTGGACATGGAGATAGCGTGGTCAAAATGAATGTTTTAGAAAGTCTCAATTTTCCTATGACAAAAGGATTGAGAAGTTAGAACAGTTATTGGAGCAGATTATAGGGGAGTAGTGAATTTTTATTAGGACTGTGAAGAAAATATATCCTGAGTGTTAGCATTGGGCTTGAAAGGCTAACTAGAAATATTAGACAAAGATTTGGTAATACCATAGAAATCATAATAGGGCTCTCCATGATTCCTAGCCTTTAGTTTTATAGATTGGAAATAATATGATAATGCCTGGAAAAAGATAGTTTAGGAGGAGAAATAAGCAACTGTGAAAGATCATAAATTACAATGGTGTCATATTTAGTTTGCATTTGGAAAAGTTATAGGTTATAGTATATTCACAAGTTCAAGATTCTTTTTTCCCTTTTTTCTCTTTATAAGTCTCTTCCTGGGCTTTCTAAGCATTCTTTCTACACACAAGCTTCCATCTGCTAAGTAAGCGCAGTTCAGAAATTTGTCTGTATTCTCTTAAATCCTGAAAATACCAGCCAGTTTTTGCACAACTGGTCCTATTTTGTGATAGCTCAAACCCTGTACTTTGTTATAATGATTAATTTGTTTATGGCTTGCTGACTGCATCTGTGTTGTAGGCTCTTTGGCTAATATAGTTTGTTAAAATCCTCCAGCAAAGTGCTGCTGCAACGAACATCCTCTGGGACTCTGAAATAGCCTTATTATACAGAACTTGATGTTATACACTAACAGCATTTATTAGAATGGAATTCTGTATGTATTATTACTTCTGACATCAGCCTGGCTTTTTTAGCTTCTTCACAGCATGCAGCTTTGGTAGTTATGCTAATGCTAGCTGATTCATGAGGACAGCTTCCTAAAGTGCACTTAATTAACTTGGAGATTTTGTAAACAGCTGTACATATAAGTTCTGCAAATTGTGGCAATATGTCAGTGTGACATGTATGCAGTCTGCCTTCCCTGCCTCATCTCTTTTTTTTGTAACTAAAACATAAAATGGGACACTTCGATTTGGTGTCTTTGAATGAAGATAGGGATGGTCTGACTCCATCGGGGCAGAGGAGCTAGAAGGATGGTTGCCTTTTTAATTGGAGGAAAGAAAGTATTAAATGTTTTCTCTTTGGAAAAGTATACCAATTTTCTGACAACTTTCTGCACTGTGTGCTTGTCAGTGGACTGTTTTGGATACTGGATTTCTCATTCATGATCTCTTTTTCTTTTGTGTCCCAGATTTTGGGCTGATTTGATATCCTCATCTGAATGGAAATTAACTGAACTCTGATGTATTTTATTAAGATTTCATTCTCTTTACAGATAAAAAAGACAAGATTCATGTACCTACAACATATAGTCAAGGTTAACAGTGTCATACAAGAAATTGCTTACAACAAAAATACAAGAGAAAAATCACATCCGAGCCAAGACTAAACTAATTAAAACGGGAAGGAGAAATACCATCAGGAAAGAGCAGAAGAGGAAACTATTACATACAATTAGAAGAAACAGGAGTTTCATAGAGCAAATGACAATAGAGGATAGAGACAGCTTTTAGTAATCTTTTTATTAAAAGTGCATAAAGTTACGCTCTTGGATAAGCCTTAAAAACTAAGTTAGGGATTTGCCTATTTCCCAAGGGTCCTGACAAGGTTGTTTTCCCTCATTAATTTAAGCTACAATCCGGGTACAATCTCTTTGGGAACTAGCTAGGTTATATCTAAGGACAATCAAATGTTTATTGCTTAGAACTTTCTTTGACTTCTATAGTCAGAACCTCCTCCCCAGTCTCAGCGGAAGGAGCCATGCTGATGACGAGAGATTGGCGGGTCGTTTCCGAACTCATTGAAACTCTCCTTCTGGTCCACTGGGCTGTGGTAGAACTTGCTTCTTCTTCACATTTGTCCAGTGTTTTTTCTGCTGGGCCTCTTCCTTTGTCTTCATCTTCTTTTCTGTTGCCTTCTTGTCCGTTGGAGTGTCTCTTTTTCTCCTGAGGGAAGCAGTTACAAGGAATTAATACTGAATAATTAAGGACAGGGACTCTTTTGCCTTGTCCAGCACCAAGCCAAAGATTATCTGAGTGATACGACTAGAGGAATCTTTTCTGCCTCGATTCCAACCGTTATTTCACTAAGTTTTTTGGTTTGCCAGAGAATGGAGCTCAGCTTTTAGGCTTGATTTACACTGCTGGCCTCAATTGTATTTTTGTCCCCACCAACGAACTTTCTTCTTACCGGTCTTTGTACTAATAGAATTATTAGACGCAATGCTTAGGACTTTTGTTTTTGCTTTTAAAAATTCTGCTTTAAAATGAAGATGAAGGGCTGGGGAGATGGCTCAGTAGCATAAGCGCTTGCCTGGCAAGCACAAGGGCCTGAAGTCAACCCCTGGTTCTGCCAAAAAACAAATAAAAATAAATAAAATGAAGGTGAAAATATCTTTTAAATTAAAAAGTATTAACCAAGTCCAGCCCTCTCCATTTGTCACATGTGCGTTTGGGCTACCCCTTTTGAACCTATTATATTTAGTATTATCTATAGAAATTTCATAGTTAAAAAATGCACTGTGTTTTTTACTGAAGGTGCTTGGGCTAAATTTGAAAGAGACTTGCCAAAGGAATAAATCTGCA